ACAGTGGGGCTGTAGTTCACTACCATAATTCTATTGTGGCAATTAGTTTAGCTTGAAATGGCACATTTCTTGGATTAACGTTTATTTGGTTTATTCTCAACTGGTGTTTTTTCAAAATGCGTCTTCTCTAATTCAGTCATAGAGCTCAGGAATCTGTTTTGTTGTAAAAGCCTGCCCCCTCTTGGACCGACTCGAAAATGCAGCTATTGTCTCCTCCCAGTTCCAGTGTGTCTTAGGGTCAGCACCTTTAATGACTTTAGCTTACAGGAAGCTGGCTCAGGAAGCTCAGTGGTCCGCTCGCCCCCAGCCGGGTCATTAATTCTATGAGCCCCTTGCTGTCCAGCTGTGTTTCACATCGGGTTGAGCCTCTGTTTTAATTTCCTCCAGATGCGGAATTGGTCGTCCTGGTGTTTGATTAGCGATAGGTCGAGCAGGTCTTCGTTTCATATGGGTACTTTGAGGCCCAGATCTCCATTTGCTTTTGTATGTGTCATATAAATTCAAGTCTTTGTTTGCAATCAACCTAATTTTATTTTATTTATGTCTTCTGAATCCCCTCCCCTTTGGAAATAGAGTTGCATTGTCTCTCTCATTAATACCATCAAAACTTATCATCCCCGTTTTACTAGAATTGTTCAGGGACATAACTGAGTTAATGGGGAAAATAGAAATTGCATTTCAATATCTAACTGGTAGCAGAAATTGAAATGAACATTTCAAACCCGAACATTATATGTCAATACTTTGTGTGACAAAAGCTAAAAATGAGTAAAATACCCGCGGCTATAATTGAATGCATAGTTGCTTCAGTGGAGCATGACAATGATTGTGTGGCGTGGGCCCTCGGTCACCCCCCCGACCAGACGAGGCGCCCCTCTCCATGCTTCCCGGCCGGCTGCCTGTGGCCATGGCCCTCAGCCAGCAGCACTTGGCACGCGCCTCTACTCTGGAGCAGCTGCGCGACAAGCTGGAGACTGGCGACGGGCCGGAGCGCAAGATGGTGCGGCTGGCGGAGGAGCAGCAGCGGCTCATGCAGCAGGCGCTGCAGCACAACCTGCTGGCCATGGCGTCACAGGTGCCCATGGGGCTGCAGCTCAGCGCCGCCAGCCGTGGTGAGGTCCCCCTCGCTACCCCCCCACCATGCATCTCCTGCTCCTGGTCTGTCCCTGCGTGCTCATATTGTCCCCCCCCCCCGTGCCATTTCAGAAGACAAGCAGGACCTGGCGCTGAGCATCACCTCCACCGGAGCTGCCAGCATCAGTGTGTCTGTGGAGGTCAATGGCACACTTTACTCCGGTAATACCTCAGGCTGCCTGCAGATGGCAGCAAGGACACCAGAAGCCTTTTAGTCTCATTATTCTCAAATACAATGAGTATAACTAACTCTCAGATCTATTTGCAGCAATGTTCTCGAGTGGTTGTCTGAATGCAGCTTAATGTTTAAATTACCTTCATACTGGAGTAAAACTGACATGCCTGTCAAAGTGTGTTAGCTTAGCCATTTCAAAACCTCAGCTAAAGTCGCCCCATTATTTCCAGCATCCATCCAATACACCCATACATTTTTTGACTCAACCACAAGCACGTCTAGTATGGCTAACCAATATCTCATTGAATTTTTAACGAATTAAATTTATTAAATCAGCTGACATTTTTAATAAATACATGGAATGGCTGAGGTGCCCCTGAGGAGAGGTTTGGGAAGTGAAGCGGTGTTCATCTAGCCATCCAGCAAGATATTAGTTACTTTTTGGGGAACAGAAGAAATTTTTACTAGTTTCTATTGTTACTCTTAATTTGCATATTTTCTAACGCTATAGTTTTTAAAAAAAAAATTTATTTTTTATTTTTTTTGTTCTGAGCAAATATGCACTCACTACTCAGGATAAATAGCTTTAAACATTTCTTTTGACTGCCTAAGACTTTTGCACGGTATTGCATATGTGTTACATTCCCGAATACTACACTATAAAACTGGGAATATTATCAGTGTTAGAAGTCCTCAGGCAGTACAAGTTGTACCTAAGTGAACATATTAATCTAAGAATAGTCCATATGAAACAATAATTACTAATGAGTTTTGATGCTGCTTCCCTTTCATCTTTTTATTAAAATATGCTACATCATGCAGGGGCCAACTGTCACGACGTCCACATATGGGTGAAATGCAGGGGACATGTTTCGTTGTTGTGCACTGTGTGCTGTGGTGTCATCAATGATCACTGATCACTAAATAAATATCTCCCTCTAACAGGAATGCTGTTTGCCCAAAGATCTGTGGCAGCTGTCAACACATCAGCAGCACCAGCACCCCCTGCTGGTCCCGCTGGGGCTTTCGGAATACTCTCCTCTGCTCACAGCCCCAGCCTCTCCTCTGCATCCTCCTCCTCCTCCAAGGGGCCCAGTTCTGCTGAGCCCTCTGCTAGTGGTTCTCCGTAGCTACGGGCAGCCCGGTCAGCTGACCCTTGGCTGAGGTACAGTGCCACCCAGCTGAGAAGCCGCGCATTTCTCTGAATGATCAACTGAATTTATGGAAACGAAACTGTCGCACAACAAATACCTCATTGCCCCTGTCAACATAGTCTGGGCGTACCTGTGGACATCAGGCTCTATACTTGCTTGCATACACAAACAAAGAACCAAACACACACATACTCCATACACACGTACACAACACACTCTGAAAAGCTCACTACAGCAGAAAGTAAACACTCACTGTACAGCCAAAATTGACGACAGGTACTCATAACTTGAAGTTTTATTTAGTTTTGCCATTTATTTCCTTAGAATATACGATTTTAACACATTTGTCTGCTTTACCTCAAATAAGAGTGTTTTAGTCTAATACTCCTTCTATACTATACCTCAGGGACAATGATACACCTGTGTTTAAATAACAGGGTTACTTTTATATTTAATTACTCTTATATCAGCAGAATATAATCCTTGGCCAGTACTGTACAGAATAACAGCTCAGGACATTTTAGCCTTGAAATTAAGGGGCTCTAACTGAGTGATCGTTTAATTATATAATTAAAAATGGATCTTTTGCTCTTTATGCTCTGCCCTTCATCTACCCATTAAGTGCTCAAAATAATCTCTAAGCAGAAGCACAGATGATTCCAGTTGCATAAACCCATTAGAGTTCAGTGAGGTAGAGCCCCTTATTTCTTAGTTGTCCAAGTGTTTCGAGAACCTCTAATGAAGAACTGCTGTGACCGGAATCTGCAGGCACTGTTTTAGGTAGCCATATTTTGAAAAGCTCTGCTCACTGGAGTTTCAAGATGCAATACCATATTGCGCCTAATATAAGCTCCCTGTCAGCGATTACTGGGGGACATACTAATGAATCTTGTCACTGCTGTTTTAAAGGAACAGAAAGCTTCACATTTAGGACATTTAGTCAGATGTTACACACAAACCTACCAAATCACGGTGGAATGCCGGGTTGGCAAGGGCCTAGTAGGAGGGGTTACAGACACCCGTCCGTATGATGTCATGCCCGTTTAGACTTTGTTGCATCCATCCATCCATTCATCTGTCCCTTCCTGTAGCGTCTGTCAATCATCATCAATAGGGTGGAGGAATGCTTAAAATGGTGCCATGCGTTTTTACGCCGTGTATTACAAATGTGGGGAAAAACATCAAAATATCTGAAGCTCAAGACAGGATCTTCGTCTCGTGGTGGGACCAGGGATTTGTGTGTGACCGTTCATACATTTCTGACCTCAGGTTTGCCTTTCCATATTGGTAAAGGTGGTGTCTCAGGAATTACCGAGCTGTCTCTGTGGACTGTTTTCAGAAAAAAAGAGAATTTTTCAATAATGTACAGCTGGATAAGACCATGCAAAGAAATACCTCTGGCAATCTGACACATCACTTCTGCTGAAATTTCTGGACATTTGAAAGAATCCAGCAGTGGACATGTTCATCAGGAATGTGCCCCTATTAATGTGAGATGTTACACAAATGAAACGTCTGGTTCTGCTACAGTCTGGTGGAGCTCAATCCTCCACTTTTTGATGTCATCTTCAGACTATTGTGTAAGTGAATACCAAAGACCAGCCCATTTATTTAAATTTTTTATCATCCCTGGGACCTGCTGCCCACCCCCGTGTGATATCACTTGGTGTCATCGTTTGGGATAATGCAGTTTGTGCCGATGCAGTGGACTTAAAGGTCAACATTATGCAGTAGCTCAGCTAACTGCCCTGCTTGGTCAACTTTTTTTCCTCCTCATTGTGGTCCTTCTGGTGTCATTTGATGTCAGTGTGCATTTTATTAACTGTTATAATTTTGTGTGTGTGTGTGTGTGTGTGTGTGTTCTAGTTTGTGCAGCTGTGTGGCTTTCCGGAGTTGATGCTTAGTATGACTTGGGGTGGGGGGGGTGATTCTGCCCCTAGTGCAGCTGCACATGGACAGATGGTTCCCACTGGCCACTGAGCACATCAAACTGCTGAGAAGCTGCATTTTGCAAACCCGATATGGCTGCTGCTCTTTCTCTGGTGATGCTGTTCCTCAGAGGCGTATTTACTGAACTCCTTTTCCTTCGTCGACTTAAAAACGCACGTTTTGGCTTTTAAGATTGAGAGACGGGCATCTCCCTGCTCCTTTGGCACGTTGAAGTCCTGGATTGTGTCTCCGGTGCAACCCTGACTGGTCTGTAATCTCCACACGCAGGTCAGCAAGATGCTGTGTAAGGCTGAGTGTGTTTCTGTAGTTTTGACCTGTTGAGATTCACTCAGGCCTGCATAAAGTAGGTTTCAGGATGGCATAGACCCACCTCGCTGGGTTGTAATGTCACAAAATAATGCCGTGTGTGTGTGTGTGTGTGTGTGTGTGTGTGTTGCTTTTTTGTGCTTCTCTTAATAATGGAGAGAACTGACCTGCCCACCTACCTCAGTACAGAAGACTGGAGTTATTGTTTTTAGGGACAATATGGCCATTTGTGGGTTTTAGTTAAATGAAGTTGTGCCGTGGGCATTGTACTACAAGGAGAGGCGCGCCTTCTCTGGGAAAGACAACGGTACTGCCATGGCTAGTTATATGGGTATTTGTTTGCTTGCTTTCTGTCTTTCTCTTCTTGGTTAGGCGATATTGCTCAGGTAACCATAATGGTAACATTCTGCAAACATTTTCTACGTGGTTTGCTTGGATTTTATATATATTTTTTTTAAAAGGTAAATATACCATGATATATGTAAAGCAATTACATATGCAAATGCTTGAATACCTCACCAAATACCTCATATCAAACATTTTGTGTGTGCGGCGCTCCAGTGAAACGTCAGTGGAGTTTGTGCATATGTCTTTTTATCATTATTACTATCTGTGATAAGCCAAATAACAAACACACGTGGATGCTTGTGAAACTGGTTTGTGCCGATTTGTAAAGTGTATTTAAAAGTGCAGCACTTTCCCCAAAGGTTATTTTTAACACACTCAGTTTTGTTCACATTACTAATGTGAGGATGTGGTTCTCAGGGCTTAACATGTATGTCATAAAGTAACTTTTTATCCTACTGCAGTGTTGCGTTTTTTGTTTTGTTTTTGTATTTTTTTTTTTCCTCCCTTTTGCCGATTTGAATCCCCAGCCAGCAAGGTACCACTGAGGTACCCTGAGCAAGCCACTGCCCCCAGGAACTGCTCCCCAGGTGCTAAATAGCTGCCCACTACTGTCTCAAAATGTTAGGTATGGATTAAATGCAGTGGGCACATTTTATGTACTCTGTACTGTGGTGTATCAACAATAACAATCAGTTCCACTTCACCGTTGCCTTCAGATTTGGAATTGGGGATATTGTTCATCAGAATGCTTCCGATTCCCGACGCCTATATCTTTCACTAAGACAGTCTGACTGTTTATAACTGTCACCGACACTCACCAGGTGTGAGTCCCCAGGTCTTGTTAGTCAAGTTAACCGGCCAAAAGGATGTCCTGTTTTATACCTTCCTCAAAGGGCTTAAATCAGTATCACAAAACTTTATTTATCCTGTGGGGGAGTTTCAGTTTCATCACAGTCGCTCCAGCCAAGAATAGGAGTATGACGAGATCAAGGAGCTAAGTAGATGTACAATAACAGATATATATTAACAGCTGTAAAAAACAAAATACATAAATAGTAGAGAAACAATAGATTAACTATGAACAAGCTACAGTATCTCACAAAAGTGAGTACACCCCTCACATTTTTGTAAATATTTTATTTTATCTTTTCATGGGACAAACCTGAAGATATGACACTTTGATACAATGTAAAGAAGCCAGTGTACAGCTTGTATAACAGTGTAAATTTGCTGTCCCCTCAAAATAACTAAACACACAGCCATTCCTGTCTAAACCGCTGGCAACAAAAGTGAGTACAGCCCTAAGCGAAAATGTCCAAATTGTGCCCAATTAGCCATTTTCCCTCCCCGGTGTCATGTGACTTATTAGTATTACAAGGTCTCCGGTATAAATGGGGAGCTCTCACACTCTCTCATACTGGTCACCGGAAGTTCAACATGGCATCTCATGGCAAAGAACTCTGAGGATCTAAAAAAAAGAATTGTTGCTCTACATAAAGATGGCCTAGGCTATAAGAAGATTGCCAACACCCTGAAACTGAGCTGCAGCATGGTGGCCAAGACCTTACAGCGGTTTAACAGGACAGGTTCCACTCAGAACAGGCCTCGCCAGGGTTGACCAAAGAAGTTGAGTGCATGTGCTCAGCGTCATATCCAGAGGTTGTCTTTTGAAAATAGACATGAGTGCTGCCAGCATTGCTGCAGAGGTTGAAGGTCAGCCTGTCAGTGCTCAGACCATACGCCGCACACTGCATCAAAGTGGTCTGCATGGCTGTTGTCCCAGAAGGAAGCCTCTTCTAAAGATGATGCACAAGAAAGCCCGCAAACAGTTTGCTGAAGACAAGCAGACTAAGGACATGTTTTACTGGAACTATGTCCTGTGGTCTGATGAGACCAAGATAAACTTATTTGGTTTAGATGGTGTCAAGCGTGTGTGGCGTCAGCCAGGTGTGGAGGTCAAAAACAGGTGTGTCTTGCCTACAGTCAAGCATGGTGGTGGGAGTGTCATGGTTTGGGGCTGCATGAATGCTGTCGGCACTATGGCGCAACAGTTCATTGAGGGAATGATGAATGTCAACATGTACTGTGACATACTGAAGCAGAGCATGATCCCCTCCCTTCGGAAACTGGGCCGCAGTGCAGTATTCCAACATGATAATGACCCCAAACACACCTCCAAGACGACCACTGCCTTGCTAAAGAAACTGAGGGTAAAGGTGTTGGACTGGCCAAGCATGTTTCCAGACCTAAACCCTATTGAGCATCTGTGGGGCCTCAAACGGAAGGTGGAGGAGCGCAAGGTCTCTAACATCCACCAGCTCCGTGATTCAAGATTCAAAGCGTTTATTATCATATGTACAGAAAAGTAGTATTTCTCAGTACAATGAAATTCTTACTTTGCTGTCCACTCACAAATGCC